CTGGGATCTCTCCCTGAGTTAAAATCACTCAGGCAGCTGTTGGATGGGACCCTGATGGTAGCTGTGCAAGGGCTGATGTGCTATGGGAAAGACATCCACACTAGACTTTTGTCTCAATTGGGATACCAATAAGTTCTTAATGAACCAAACTGAGGTCTCCTTATTTAGTGTAGTAAAACCAGTCACTGGAGGCAGGCGTTATAGCGGCAGAAAGAGGCATTTATATTGCCAGATGCCATGCAAGGAGAACTAGCAGCTAGCACTTAAAACTCAAACTTCCCCATGATTTACAAGCCAGGGTTTTTGTTTTCTTTTTTCATTTTTTTTTTTCCTACAACACAGAGTAAGCTGGAAGTCAGGCAGGGCTGGCCCAAAAAGGGGATGGGATATCCTGAGTTTCGGCAGGAGCGGGGAATAGGTAGATTCGGGAATTTTTGGATCAGTGGAAAGGAAGCTTGAGATGAGTGTGACAGACCACAAAATTTCCCATAAAGGAAAATTTAGTACAAAGAATGGCAATCAGAGTTCAGTTTCTCAGTTCCCTTTTATCTGCGTTTTCCATCCAGTATGGTTCTTTGAAAAACAACTCCAGAACATGTGCTAAGATGCCATCTTTCAGTTTCCATAGGGAATCAAAACTCCTCCTGAGTCTGGCTAGCTTGGAGGACCATTGTTTTCAGCAGGTTGCCCATTCACTTTTCAAGGCTAGCTAGGTGCCTGGAACATCTCCTGAAAGAACTCAAAGTTTTCCTTTATTTTCATGGCTTGGGGGCCTAGCAAACCCCTCAGAAAGGTTCCTGCTTGGTTTTAGTTGCATGTTTTCTGCTTTGGGGATATTATACTAGTCTCTTAAATTTTTTTCCAAGATTCTTAGCTTGGATTCACTGTCACTTGTACCTAAAGGTATAGTCAGCCTTTGGGTTGAACTTATGAATGAAGTACCTTAGAAATGATACACATCCTACCAAATGTGATTAGGATACAAGGACAATAAACTTGGGACCTGCTGCTCATGAGGAATTTTGCTTTTTATTTTTCATTTTAAAGAATGATTCCCACAGTATTTATAGAAGTAATTTAGAAACATTAAAATTACCTTCAGTATCCTGAAGCTTCCTGAGGCTAGAGGCTATTGGCTCAGTATTGTAACAATGCCTAGGTGACGTTAGTTGTTCCGAGGACTGCAGGGAAATGGAGACTGAGGAGGTGCCTTGTGAAGACTGAAACCCTAGGACTCTGTCCTTCACCCCTCCGCCTTCAGTAATGTCATGGTCTGCTTTCACCAAAGCTGTAATCTTGCCTTTATCAATATTTGTCCATATTTCTGAATTTTATGTTTATATTTGTGATAATTTATATTGAAAATCTCTAACAATTTTAATGGTAAGAGGATTGTATCTAAATTCAGTTCTTAATTCCATACAGCTAATATATCCATAGACTCCTGGGAAATGGGAACACCAAAAGGTAGATTCTGGGGACAATCTCTTAACTGACTTCTGTATCTCTTCATTATAATTCTCTAGAGAGAAATCATTTGTTATGGAAATAAGGCATTTGTTGTGGAAAAGAAGAGCTAAGAATTAAGCAAAGAAATTTGGCTGTTTTGTTTGGCTTTTTCTGTCTGAGACTCCCTTCTCCTTACCTCAAAAATCCCAATATTTTCATAACATCATGTTGTATACCTTAAATATACACAATAAAATTTATTTGAAAAAAATCCAATCATCAACTCCTTTTTTAGAAAATAAAACAAGAACCCCTTGTACAAGCATCCTGGTGAATAATGTGTAGGGAGGTTTATGATTCTTTTTCTTTCTGTTGAATAGAAGCTGAACTTCAAATCTCTTCTGGCAAACTAATTTCTAGGAAGAAATTTTATTTTGTCCCCACTTTTTATTTAAGTAACGATATGATAATTAGAAGAAAATTAGAAGATCAAAAAGATATAATGGGCTGGACAGAGTGGCTCACACCTGTAATCCTAGCACTTTGGGAGGCAGAGGTGGGAGGATCACTTGAGGCCAGCAGTCTGAGACCAGCCTGGACAATATAGCAAGAACCGCACCTTGACAAAAAATTTAAAAATTAAGGGAATGTGTTGGCGTGTACTTGTAGTTCCAGCTACTTTGGAGGCTGAGGAAAGAGGATCACTTGAGCCCAGAAATTTGAGGTTACAGTGAGCTATGATCAGGTCATTGCATTCCAGCCTGGTGACAGCAATACTCTCTCTTTCTCTCTCCCCCCCCATATATATGTATATTTGTATGTATGAATATATGTATATTTATTATATGAAATAGATGCTTAGAAAATATATATATTCTTTCATATTTCTGAATTTTATCAATTCCTTAAGCATGCATATACATTTTTTAAATATCTCAACTTACAGTGTGTATTTTACTTTATTTCACTTAGTATTTTAGACAAAAATCTTTACATGTTATTTCCTTATCTTTATAATTTGTTCTGATACCTGCATAAATCCCCTCAGGCTGAAATATACCATATTTAAGAATTTATCATTGGGTATTGAAGTTCTTTTCTTATTTCATAGATGCTACTGTACATAGTGGTGAATACTACATATGTGCATATTTACAGGTAGCTACCTAATTATTATTACAAAATAATCTGGACTTATTTTCAGACGAGGGATTCTTGCTTCAAAGGCTTAGCTAGCATGTGAGCCTATCATCAAATTTCTTTACAATAGGAATAAGGGTTTAATTTTTTTTTTTTTTTTTTGTTTTTTTTTTTTTTGAGACTGGATCTCACTCTGTCACCCAGGCTGGAGTACAATGGCATGATTTCCAGGGAGATGAGGTTCTCTATTAGTTTCTCTATTTAAATAGGTAAAGTTCTCTAGTTGTATTTTAAATAATAGAAAGATGCTATCTGAGATGCTAACTTCAAGTTCTGTCCCCAATTTTGTGCCAGTTCTGTGCCTTTAAGGCTTTGTCTTGGATTTACACTAAAGAAGAGATATTTTATTCAGTCAATTTTCAAGAATAGAAATGTCCATTCTTATTTGAAGATTTCTGTGGGTAGAGATCTTCTCAATGGGCTCATTCTGCCCCATGTTTTTCTTATATAAAATGATCATGAGGAAACAGATTTGAATGCTAATTTCAATAAGATTAGCCTACTCCTGCCCTGAGATACAAGAAAAGTTAATCTTTTATTCTATTTCTTTCTCCCACTCCGTGCCACTCAGGCATTGGTGTTAGTAGTTGGTATTTAAAAGGAGTTAGTTTTTTCCCCAAATAATATTTTTAGTTGAAGATTTTCTCAGTCCTGAGTGAGAACGTTTACAAAGGTTTAAACTATGAAAATCTTTAGCTACTTTGCATGTTCTAAATATGAGGGAAAAAATTCATTATTTTCAAAACACTAGACTGTAATGGTTCTAAGATTTCATTTTATTCTGACTATGGTGTTGTCTTTAGAGAAATTTATTTTTCAGCCATGAGAACAAATGGATAATTTGCTAGAGTAAAGACACAAGTTTCTGGAAAGAATGATATAATTCTTCCTGTACCTTCACATAGTGGTATGCTACTATCTAACTAAAGGAAAAGTTCCAATTTCCTCCCTAAACCACAGAACATTTAAATATGTCCTTTTGTAGGTAATTTTTGCAAATACCAAATGACTCTGACCATTTTATTGTACCACAAAAATGGTACCATACAGCAAAAGTATGTGCTGTAACACTTCACTTTGTAAAAATCAGAAGGATAACACAATCTCACTTATCAAAGAGTATAAAAAGACCAAAATCTATACATTGCTTTTCTTAAGCTAGGCTAGAATTAATCCTTTCCATAGAAGATTCAAAGAATGGCCAGGCGCGGTGGCTCTCACCTGTAATCCTAGCACTCTGGGAGGCCAAGGCGGGTGGATCACTCAAGGTCAGGAGTTTGAGACCAGCCTGAGTAAGAGCGAGACCCTGTCTCTACCAAAAAAAATGGAAAGAAATGATTTGGACAGCTAAAAATATATAGAAAAAAAATTAGCCGGGCATGGTGGCACATGCCTGTAGTCCCAGCTACTTGGGAGGCTGAGGCAGAAGGATCACTTGAGCCCAGGAGTCTGAGGTTGCTGTGAGCTAGGCTGACGCCACGACACTCTAGCCCGGGGAACAGAGCAAGACTCTGTCTCAAAAAAA